GTTTTTATGTCTTGTACATACTTGTATCAGGTATAAACAGTAATCCAACAGAAATGGTACCCTTCTTCCTTAGCTCAGGGTGACGGAGGTCAGACATTAAACCTATAAAACCCAGAATACAATGAAGGCAAGAAAGAATTCTTCCTTCCCACACCCTTTTCTCTGCTCTCCCTCCAATATCTGGATGGGAAAAGAATCTTAGGCAAGATCGAAGAATGAGAGATAAAGATTTTTAAGCATAATAATCCATTAAAATTATGTCTATCTGCTCTCAAAAGTTTCACTTGTGTCACAGATACTGTGTTCTGGGGATTCTAAAATAACTAAATCCTCACCTACACTGAGGCACTACGAGGAAGGAGAGAGCACCTCTCCCCCCAGTGAAGCCAGAGGCAGTGCCCAGAATTAGGCCTGAAGTCTGCAGGGACGTCCTCCAGAAGCGAACTGACACCCTGGGCACCCAAGAGGGGTGGGAATGAGGGGGGCGGGTTATGGCGGAGAGGAATTTTAGATATATTTCTAACCTTCACAACAATCCAATAAACTAGGGGCTACCATACCTATTTTACAGATGAGGAAACTAAGGTCCAGAGAGATTAAGAACCTTGCCTAAGTCTGAGAGCTAATAGGCTGTGGAGTTGGGATCTAAGTCTTGGCAAAGCAATAGATTAGCAATCCAAAGTCTGGTTTCTAGTCCCAGGTCTGAACCCGCTTGCTGAGTGACTGTTGAGCAAGTCATTTAACATCTCAGATCTCTGTTTTCTCTTCTGCATAATGGAGGCTTGGCTAAAAAGGTGTCCATAGACCCTTCCTGGTTTGCCAATATAAGAGTCTGAGCAGAAAAACAGGAAGGAGGCCCTGAGGGGCTCCAATGGACAGGAGGAGAGAGGAGCTCAAGTCCAAGTGCAATCATTAGTCACTGAAGAGTGAATCACTGGTGAGTGAATGCCTTGTTAACTGTGATGTGTGCTCACTCCCAAACGGATCTCACAGCTTTCTCAGTAAGAGAACACAGAATTTATGAGACCTCAGATTCCCTTATCCAGCAGATTTTAAAGTTTTAAACAGAAGTACCATCCATAAAAACCTTCAAAATATTAACTGCTATGTGAGGTTTTTTGCGGGGGGCAGGTGCTTAAGGAGGGGATTGACAGGGGACAGAGCCCACCTACTTGGACCCCAGAGTATGCCAGGGAGGTTCAAATAGGTGGGCTCCATCCCTCCTCTGCCCCTTCCCAAAATGTTTGGGGTGGCACAGCAGGTATGGGAAAGGGAAGGCCCAGCCCAGTTTGCCCTGGGCCCTATTCCAGTCAGTCTTTCTGACCAGCTGAGCCTTCAGGTGCCTTGTTCCCATTCTTCCCCTCTTCTTTCTCTCTCCCAATTATTTTTATCATTCGGCAGAAACCCTTCTGATCTTGGTTGAATGCCATGACAGCAGATAAAGGTTTTTGTTTTTTTTTTTCCTTTCCCAGTTTACATGGAGAAACTGCTCCAGGAGCTATTCATTTTGGCCCTCAGAAATAATAATGGCAGCTACCGTTTCCCATGGGCTCATTCACTACCAGGCACTCGGCAAAGAGCTTTGCATGCTTTACCTCATTTTCTCTTCACAACTACCAGAGGAATTAGACACTCCTATTTCCTCCTTTTGGAGGCAAGGAAATGAAGAATTAGAGACTTTACGGAACCTATCCAAAGACACACAGCTCCTCAGAGGCCAGGCTGGGGCTCAAATCCAATTACAGCGTCGGATAATTTCCGACCTGTCAGTGTGGGTCCTTCTTGTATTTGTTGGCTGTGTTATGGTTGCTTCCTCCGCTATTTCTAAGCCTTGCTCTGTGTTCATTGTGGATGGTAGAGGGGAACCCCCTTTTCTCCAGTCTGGGTTTCAATGCGGAAGGGTTTTTTCTAAGCACATTTCCTGCTTTCTCTCCCTGCTTTATCCATTCCTGGGTAGATGAGGAACTGCTCCCTTTGGTAAATTTGAGAATACCTGGTTGTGCTCAACTCAGCATTGTCCTCCTTCTTACTGGGAGGGAGCTACTCCTGGGGCTCTGCCCCCTGTTAGCCATGGGGGCTGTCCTGGTCTTGCAGCCGGGTTCTGGGATTCACTATTAGTGGTGCCCTTCAGCTACCAGCCCTTCAGCTTCTTCTCCAACCTGGTTTACTATCACTAGTAAAGGTGATCTTTACTGGCTCCCCCCTGCTCCTTTTTGTTTTATGTCCCAGCTTGTTTAGAATGCAGGCAAAGCAAATGGGATGCCATTTACTCAGAGTCCCTCAGAGAGCCCAAAAGGGGCATCCTGGGGGAATTACACTGGTGGAAAAATTTCATGGTCTGCTGCTGGCTCCAATCCTTACCTTGGTGACTTCAGAGTGTAACTCCAACTTCCCCAGGCCTTCGAGGTCTAATGCCTGCCCCCTCTTAAGCGAAAGGTGGTGTGGCAGAAATGGCTAGTTGTTTCTCAGTGTCTGTTCTTTTCTCCCCCTATTAATAATAATCCTGCCCTGAATAAAGACTAAATTCCCCAGCATCCCTTGCAGCTAGGTGTGTGGCCACATGACTCATCAATGGGAGGTAATGAGAAGTGATGAGCACAACTTCTGGGTCATACATTAAAGGGAAGGCCCTTACTAACCGCTTCTTTTCCTCCGTTCTGCTGGCTGGAATGGGACATGATGGTGGCAGCTGAAGTAAGTATTTTGAACCATGAGAGGGAAGCTATGTTTTTTGGGTAGCAGTGCAACAACCAAGGACGATCTGAAAAATGGCCACCTTCAAGCTGCAATATCAGCCCTTGACTACCTATCCAGACTTCCTTGTGAGACAGGAGTAAACCTCTAACTTGTGAAAGCCTCTGTCATTTTTGGGTCCCTTAGTTACAGCATCTGAACCCCATGTATCCTAACTAACACAGGTAGGAACCCAAGAAGTTGCTTCCCAATTTCAGGGAGGGATGGAAGGATCTGGTACCTGATTGACATGTATGAGGGAATCAGTGAATGAGGGAAGGATAGAAGGATTGAGCATTTGTTGAATGCTTAGGGTATTCCAGATACTGTGCCTGACACTTCAGCTATACTTTCTCAGTTGATCTGAACAACAATTCCACTGGGATACATTTATTATTCCATTATGTAGTTGAGGCTCAGAGAAGTTAAGTAATTTGACTAAGATCACATAACTAATAAAATGTTCGCTAGAAATGGAGCTAAAGTCACTGTGGTTCTCAAAACCATCTTCTTTCATCTACGGCATACCCCTCACTCACTCAACAAATGTAGTACAACACAATGAAATCTTGCCCCGGCTGGAAGACAACCCTCCATGGGTCTCTTCTGTTTCTGCACATCTTGTGAGCAGAGGCACCGACTGTCGTTTAACCCAGACTATTTTTTCAAGGATGTTTGTTTAGCAAACAGCCTTCGAAGATAGAGATAGTTTCCCTCCAGAGCAAAGGGCAGAAATGCTTACTCTCCACTATGAAAGATTTGGTTTCCTTAAGCTCAGAGTTCCTTTACTGTAACACATTGTGTGTTCAGACAGCCAAGAATGGATGCAAAAGTGTTGACGTTCATGCTGCATGCTGTGCTGTGGAGAATATAGTCCTTTGTCTCTGACCCAGAAGTTTCATGTCTTCTGCTTCTATCCATGAAACTGCATTAGGTTAAATTTTCAGCTTGCAACTAGGGTAAAATCCCAGTTCTTGACAGCACCTGCCAAATTTGTGTCATGGTGACAGTCACCATCAGTTTGATGTCACATCACGCATGCTTTTAACTTACATTATTTCAACTAAATGTAAAGGTCAACAGCGCAATAAAGAAAATTTAAATACTACTCTGTATGTGATAAAAGAGCTGAATCTGTTATTTTCTTAGTAGATCTCAGTTTTCGTGGAGATCTCACGGCGTGCTCATTTGGCCATAGTGAGTGTGATTCTAAAGTTCAAAGATGCACATTTTTTTCATGTAACATGGCCTCTAAATCCAAACCACCCACTTCTTCTGGTGGTCAGCCAAAGAGATGGCTATCAGATCTGACACTAGAGGAAAACTAAGAGATGATAAATCAGTCTCTAGTGCGGAGCTTTCCTAAAAAATTTTAAGTACACTTTTCACCTTATATAATTTTGTGGTTGTTTGCTGTTGTTGTTAACTTTAGAAATCATGCCCTAATAAGCTATGATGCCAGAGGATTATGTTTTGGGGGGATTGGTATAAGGTGGAGGGGTATGTTGGAGGGGGGACTATTTAAACGGTCACAATATTTCTTTTACAATTGAGTAGAACGCATACGTATCCTTACATTTATGCATCATTCTTCTTTTGTATCATGAATTTGCATCTAATCCTTTCTCCTATCCAGAGACTAAAGAGTCTTATGCACTTGATTTTTACTTCTCTGTCGATCTGCTAAATTTTGAAGTTCATCAATTGCTTTTTTTTTTTTTTGGTTGACGTAGTAGTTTATTTTTATTGTTTGTTTTTACTTAATTGAATTATGTATCACTGGAGAGTAACCAACTAAACTTAAAAATACATTAGGCTTTTCAATCAGGTAGCACATGTACACGGTAATAAAATTCAGAGTATAAATTGTATTGGTTTTGCTGTATCTTCAATATTACCCAGGAAATGGAATACCAATATTTTAATATCTGGTTCTGGAATGTAGGCAACTCCAAAACCACTAGACAAAAAGGGGTAAGCATAGAGAGAGACAGAGAGAGAGGCGAAAAAAAATCTATAATTCAAGATATGACAATGAATGAAAAATCTAAAATAAATAAACAAAATTAACCAATGAAATTAAGCCTTTAAAACCAATAAGGAGATTATTATTAAATAAACATGATAGATCTGAAAGTAACTTCAAATGTTTAGCCTTTGGAAAAAGATAAAGAAGAGGAAAACACCTATTTTTACAAAAGAAATTATAAATATATAAACAGGTAAAAATGTAATAAGAATGAGTAGATATGACAAAGCAACAGTACCTCGAGTGATCCCACTCATCTCCCTAGGAAGGGGTGACCCCTCATCAATTTGCTTTATCTTCCAGCTGACTGCCAGCTTGTGTCATTCATGCCACATCCCGATGATGAACATCTCTTTGCTGCACTCCAATCTAGGACTGAGAGAACAAGGTATGTGTGGGTTGGTGGGGCAGTTTCAGTCCCCCCCCGCCATCTAGAGCCCTCCACCATGCCATCCAAAGCCCCCTGCCATGTGGTCTCTCTCTTGTGTTTTCCTTTGCCAAGGATACAATGGGGCAGAGCTTATCAGTTAGTCCAATGCCCAAACAGATATCTGGGGGGTTGCCAGTCTCCTCTTTCTATAGGCACACCCAGTCTTCACTAGTGATTCTCCTGGAGCCTTCCTCCCTTGCCTCTAGGAAGTGATACACTCCCTCATGGAGGGAGAAGAAGGGATGAGTCTCTTTCTAGGACATTGTTCTTTCCTTAAGCCTGACTTCCCTCTCTACTCTCCATTCTTTCCACTGATTAGTGGTGATGGTTTCTCTGTGGGGAGAGGGGGTGGGAATGGAGAATGGGTGGGGAGTAGTGGAGTGGAGGTAGGGGTTGGTGGAAGGGCTGGTTTCTCGAACAATGGCTCCTCAAATGTTCTCCTGGAAGATAGCTAGTTCCAGTCATTGGTAGTGGGTTCCTTATGGACTTTTTGGTTTCTGGAGTTGGGCCTCAGTAGCAGTTTCAGGACAGTAGGAAAAATCCCTCTCAATGTCCATTTACACAAATATATATATTTCCCCCCCACCTCCTTACATAGTTTAACAGATGTTGGCATACTATTTACTTTTCTCCTTCTTGTTTTCACTTGAAGTATTTCTTAGAGATTGTTCCATATCAGGACACACTCATGTGCCTCAGTCTTTAATTGCTGCACACATTCCACAGTACGGATGTATTAAAATGTATGACAACAGCTCTCTAGTGATAGTTTGTCTCTAGTCTTTTACAAACAGTGCTACACTCAATATTTTGTGTATACATCTCTTTCCATATAAACAAAACAAAAAAAAGTTAACTAGAAACCCTGATAGGCATCCAATGAACAGTTCTAATTATGCTGCAATTGGTCATAATCCCTCCTTTGAAAATTCTGTGACTTATTACAAGAAGTGACAATTTCTATAGTCTTCAACTGTATTGCTTAGCATGTAATAGGCACATTGCATTCACAACAATGTTTCTCTTCAGTGCTGCATCCAAGGTAATGTCTTCCACAGAGACTTAAGTAACAACCAGGGATCTACACCTAAGCTGCTACAAGTGGAAATAAGGGATGAAGTATAGAATGGTGCTTAGGAATGGGTGTTCTGAAGTCACATGTGCCTGAATTCAAGTCCCAGCACTGCCAATTTTTATGTCTTTTATAAAGTCTTTGCCCTATATGACACTCAGTTTTCTCATTCATAAAATAGGGCAATATAGCACTGACTTTGTGGGGGTGTTGTAGGTATTAAGTAAGAAAGTATACATGATTCTTAGGTCAGTTCCCGTTTCACACTAGGTGTTCAATAAGCATTAGCTAGGTTTCAATTCAGGTGACAATTGGATATACAGAAACTTTCTAGCCAGACCTAAGTTCACAGCTGGACAAGTAATGGCAATTGTTGCACAGCTTTCTTCTTTACTTGGCACAGGCAAATTTCTTGATTTCAGAGATGTTAAATTATGACCACAAACAAACTATACTTATCGGAATTAAAGAATATAGGAATAGAAGCATAGACCTATAGGGCTAGAAGGGATTTCAACATAACCTTATATTAGAACCTTATATTGGAAAAAGATAAAGAATAGGAAAACACCTATTTTTACAAAAGAAATTACAAATATAGCCATTCCCATGTATTAAAAACTTATATGTCAAGCATCTTGTATTATCTCATTTAATTTTCACAGGACCCATGTGAGATAGGCACCCACCATCATTATCCTTATTTTGCAGAAAAGACTGTGGATCTGAGGAATCAAGTGACATGCCCAATGGTGAATCATTAGTAAGTTGAAGATCAGGGATTCACACCCAGATCTTTCTGAAATTAAGAGATTTGTAAACTGCCATACACTTTTCGAAGAAATCTCACTTACCTAAGGCAAAGTTAGCTTATGAAAGCTCTTCAATGCCAAGAGAGAGAGCCTGAACTTCATTTTGGTGGCCTGAGGGAGGGCAGTCTTATCCATTAGGTGCAAGCACAGTGCCTGGGGCCCACAGGACTTTTAGGGACCCACAAAAATGTTTTAAGTGCTTTTAAGGTCGGAAAAGAAAGATGAACTTTTAGGTTAAAGAAAATGTTTTGCTGTATAACATTAATATATTCATCTATACCAATTTAGTTGTAAAGTATGAACTATATATATTTATATGTGTGTGTGTGCATGTGTGTATCTCCACAAACACAAGGCCAAAGTGTCGAGGTTCTACGAAAGTCAAAGCGGCCTTGTGCTGAGGTGCGCTAAACTTTCTGGGAAGATGATAATAGCAGACCAAGGTGGAAGAGCGGAGGGGTGGTGGGAGGTGGTTAAATTGTGGAATATGTGGTCACAATTTTTCTCCTCCCATCAAAGAGAGGTTATAAAGGACAGAGATGAAACATTGAAAGTGCCACGTTCTAGCTGCATGATCTTGGACCAGTGACTTGATCAACATGAGCCTCAGTTTCGCCATTGATAAAATGGGGATAAGTACCTCCTGGGGTTGTTGGACAGGGACCTAGTGTGCCTTGTTCACTGCTACGTACGAATCGCTCCATACATACATGTTGAGTGAACGCAGTAAATGTGTGCTTAGCATTGTGGCCAGTGTAGCACAAGCGTCCAGTAAGTAGTACTTGCTGGCATTAAAAATAGTAAAAAAGCGAAAGATTTATGCGATCTGAAGAGAAACCAGAGTAAAAAGTCCACAAAGTGACAAGCTTAGCCCTTCCAGACCCTGTCGTACCTCACCTGAACCTGCGCAGTAACTTCCCCAGGACGCGAGAGCACGCGACTGCGCTTGCGCTTAGGCGCTCTCCTCCGCCCCTTCAGGCTCCACGGCCAGTGGGGCGGGCCTCGGCGGCGGCGCGACTAGTCCAGAGGGAAGGGCTGAGGAAGGGGCGTGGCTAGCAGGCCGGGGCCCGGCCACCCTCTTCCGGGCTCCGCCAGCTGCGCGCGCATTCTCCTCCCCCCGCTTCTTTTGTGGTCCGGCCCATTGCGAGGGTGACAGGAAACCCTGTGCAGGGAGCGCCGCCATCTTGGACCTGCCCGAGGAAGATCCTGAGGGAGCCGCAGGAGCAGTCGCCGCTGCCACCGCTACTACCGCCGGCGCGTCTGCACCTCCTCGGCCAGCCCGCTACCTGCCGGGGCCTCGGCCGACCACCCCCGCCCTTCTCCCGCTGCGCCCGCACTCCTCTTCCTCGTCCTGACGCCCCCCTCCCGCCCGGAAAGCTGCCCAGCCACCAGCAACCCCCCAGGTAAGCCGGGCCCTCCGCAGTGTCCGTCCGGCCGAGGCCTCCTCGCCCGGCTCTCCGGGGGCCGGGGTGTGGACGACGGCGGGCT